TTTCAAGCAAAAGAAATTGAATTTTATTACAAGACAATTTAAACTATTGTGTAACAAAAGTTTTTCTATAGCTGATTATTGCTTTGCTATTGAGTCTTTTTATAACACCAGCTATGATCAACTTCGTAATTTTTTAGTGCTTCCAACTAAACGAAAACTGCAGTCTATAATTTCTGCCACAAGCATCGATTTTGTATTATAAAAAACATTTTAAAAAGTGAAAAACGATCATCAGAAAAATGCTTTTTTAATAGTTGATGAGGTAAAAATTAGACCAACAGTTGCTTATTCAGGCGGAGTTTTATATGGCATTGCAAAAAATGATCCAGAGTCTAAAGCAACTTCTATACTATATGTAATGATGAAATGCTTACATTGTAGACCTAGTTTAATGGTTTCTATTACACCTGTTCACAAACTAACATCAATGTATTAGTTCAGTGTTGTGAAAGAAGCTGCTGTTTTAGCTGAAAAAAATGGTGCAATTATTTTAGGATCTGTAACAGATAATTATAAAATCAATCAGCAATACTGCAAAATTTTCAAAAGAGTTACTGACTGTCAGGCCATTCATCCATTAGATGATCAGCGTGTTTGGTTTCTTTTGTTTGATACAGTTCATCTTCTTAAATGTTTGGGTAACAACTGGATTTCTGAAAAGTGTCAAAAGTTATCTGTTGACAATAAAACCATTGGTTCTTTTTCTGATGTCAAAAACCTATATCATTATGAAAAAGATAATATTTTGAAATCAGTTCCTATATCCCATGCTGCTGTTTATCCTTCTAGATTTCAACTAAAGAATGTGCAACATGTTTTAAAAATATTAAATGAGAAAGTAGTAGCTGCTTTGAAACTAAAAGGAGTTCATGAAACATATTCATTTATTCAGCAGGTTTTAGATTGGTGGAATATTATTAATGTTTCTGCAAAAGGGAAAAATATTAGGCTAAGAGACCACAACCGATCTGTGCAAGATTTAAAATTCGAATAATCTCCTTATATTTTTAGAACTATTTCAATCTATGAAATCAGGGCATGGACCCAAACGAATTCAATGTATTACCCATGATACTAAAAAAGCCCTTGTGCAAACCACTAAAGGATTGATAGCTGTCTGCAAAATTTGTTTTCAGTCGGATTTGATTACGTCTTACTTCTTGAGTTATAAAGTGACAGAACTGAAGGAGAATTTTCTGTTTACAGAAAATCAACAGGGGCAAATGCTTCTATGGCAGCTGGGGATGTTTTTTCTGCTTTTAAAAAGTGTTTAACTCGATTTGCTGCAGTGTTTTAAGAATTAGTGGAAGTAGAAAAACCCAATAAAAAAGATCACACATGTGAAAGTCCAATCAGTTTTAAAGATGCGACTTCAATTGAAACTTGCATTTATGATGTGAGCCTTTCAGAAACTGAAGAGAGCTCTGCTGCCAATGTGGCAGGATGGCTGGCGAAAAAATGTGAAGGTGAACTAGTTTATGCTGAAGATGAACCTATACTAATAAATTAAGCTAAAGACTTTATTGAAGAGGTTTCACGAGGATGTTTAATAGTTCCTCATGAGTGTACATAACAGCTAGTTAGAATTGGGTTATGCTTTGTGAAAAAAACTAAACACAAAGCATGTTGTAGAAAAAGACTTATAAACATTCTGTCTATAATGGATACATATTATGATTTTGCTTTATCATCAAAAAATCTTTTGGCTAATAGCTAATGTTCTTTTGCATGGAATTCATAATTTAGAAAAAGACCAAGCAAAAAATGCATGTCTTTATCTTTAAAAATATTTAAATATCTTTATCTTTAAAAATATTTAAAAAATTTTTACATTATTATAAAATCTTTTAGAGAATATTTATTTTTTGCAGACGAACTTTCAAAAGTTTTACTAAATTGACTTTTTATTCTTTTTAAAAAGGTTTTATAGTTGTTATTAACTTTTATTTTGTTATTAAGTTTTTAATAATACTAACTTATATTCACTGTAAAATTATTTTATTAATATTAGTTTTACAAAACATTTTTTGGTTAATTTTAATTTTATAAGCGTTTAGTAAGAAGAATTTAATGGCCTTCGCTAGAGAAGTCAGAAAATCGAGTTTGCGCGTCCGATCATATAGTAGTCCTTGCAACAAACTTAAAATACAAAAGTAAAAATCTTCATGGCAAAAAAAAACCCATTGCGTCAATTGTAGTTATATTAATGCAACATTTCTTGATAATAAAATAGCCGATTTAATTGCAATATCTAGTATCTTTGATTATAATCAAAGATACCAGATATTGCATGGAATCTTTACAATATAAGTTATACCTATAAATATTTGGTACTGACTCATTTTGAAATCATGTTTTGGAGACAGCAATGATATTTATCATGATACATTATTACATGATACATTATTGCATACATGATACATACATGATACATACATTCTATACAAATCTTCTCGAACTTCTTAAATTCTATACAAATCATTCTCAAAAAAAAGTATTATCCTTGGGTTACTCCACATATCAAAAACATAATCAGAGCAAAAAAAATCGCTTGGCATCAACTGCTCTACTAAATGGAAGAATAATGAAGCATCAACTGCTCTACTAAATGGAAGAATAATGAAGCATCAACTGCTCTACTAAATGGAAGAATAATGAAGCATCAACTGCTCTATTAAATGGAAGAATAATGAAGCATCAACTGCATAAATTACAATCATCTTAATCGCCCAGTAAAAGTTGAAATATTTAAAGCACATAAAAAAGAAATAATATCAGAATTCTGAAACAACCCAAAACTCATTTACAAATATATTAAAAACAACTAAAAAACAATAACAAAAATTGTGGATCCCGCTTAACTATTTTTGAAAATATTCCAATATTTGCATAAGGTGCTCATATTATCCTAATCTACCCTATATATATATATATATATATATATATATATATATATATATATATATATATATATATATATATATATATATATATATATATATATATATATATATATATATATATATAGCTCATTTTTAATCACCCGGTCTTAAGACTGTGTGCTTAACTTCACTTTTATCATGAAATGGTATCAATGCGCCCCTTTTTAAAACATTAATTAACACCTTAAAATAAAATACAAAAATGACCAAACCTTATTGACATTCAAACAAACATGATAGTTTCCTAATTTGGTCGTCAATTTTTATTTATCAAAACATTTTTAATATTTACATTAACATCATTTTTAATTGTTTTTAAGCAACAAAAAAATTGACGGTGTATTTATTTTTATTGCTCTTAGCTTGATAATTCTTGCGATCTCAATTATTGATAAAAACTAAAAACCAAAATTCGAGATTACTTACCTAATTATTTTTAATAAAACGCATTTTTTTTTGCGATTGATAATTTCATGATATCTCACTTTTGTTTTTTTATTTTATTTTATTTTTTAAATTTATTCCACTGAAAGATTGTTAGCAAAAATTTATTTTATCGCTTAAGTTTTTTATGTACTTATACTGTTTTATTTATCACTTATTTACTTATGTAACGGGGCTCGGTGATAAGACAAGTCTGTCTTCTTTTTTTTGCCCCAGCCAGGATTCTATTATTGTAATTTTTTTTTTGTAATTTTTAGCAAACGGCAAAATAAAAAAAAAATTAAAAAAAAAGTTTAACAATCCAATAACTCATTAAAGTTCAAAAAGTTGCCGTTAATGAGTTATTAATTTAAACAATCAAGATATGTCCGTTAAATATCTGGTCTGCAAGATTGTTTAAAGGGTAAATACCAAAAATCTTACTGTGCACACACCCTGTAAATTTTGGGTAATAATACCAAAAACACTTTCCATCAAAACCATTTAAACCGTAGAATGTAGATGTTTAACCAATCTTAAAATGCCTAATTTTAAAATCTAAAATTAAAACCTTAAAAAGATGTTCACTTTTTAAAATCTAAAATTAAAACCTTAAAAAGATATTCACTTTTTAAAAACCGCATTATAAGTTCTAGGAAAATATTTTTTTTTAAATAAGTTTACTATATAAAAAATGCTCCAAATTATAAAAAAATATTTCAAACAAAATGAGAACAGATATAAAAAATGTTATTCTTCAAACATAGAATAAAAATTTTAACATTCTAAACTTCATATTAGCCAATTCAAAAGAATTTTTAATAATCATATTGATTTACAAACATTCTGTAACAATAACTTTAAACTTTTGCTGTTATAATCCAAAATACTGTTCAAAAGTTGTTTGGGTAATCTGGGTAAGAGCTATCACACTCTCCCATTTGTTATGAAGTAAGAGTGCATTGTCTCAGTTGCCTGTTCAATTAAGAGCCCGAGTGCCATATTGTTCTTTTTGATGAGTTGCGGCACATAAAAAAAGATTGCATGAGCTTTTGGTGTAACTGAAATTTGTTACTTCAGGTAACTTGTCTTAAATTTTTTGATTTTTAGCTCATAACGGGTCCCAACTAAAATTTTGCCCAAACTTTGGGATAATGTCAATAAAGATCTGCTTTGTGTATATTTTTAAAATTTTAACAGAATATACTCAAAAGCATTTTCTATTCAAATATATTTTTAAATAGTTCGTATGATTTGTAGTTCAAAAAATATCACGCTATAATGTATGAAGATCTAAAATCCATTTTGTATAAATACTATCAAAAAAACCATGGACTGGGGCGAAAACATATTTTTGATAAATTTATCAGCATGAGAGCTCCAAAAAGGACTTTAAATCATTGGCTTAGCATGCTAGAACAAAATAAAGTACTAACTAGGAAAAAAGAAAGCGGTCCTCCGACCACTATAGCGACTGCAAACAACATACGTAAAATGAAAAATTTCTTCAATCATCGGAAGGGCTGCTCACAGAAAAGAGTAGCTAGCAAGCTAAAAACGACTCAGCAATACGTTTCAAAGATGCTATTGCAAAGAACAAATATCAGATGTCTAAAACGCACCGTCAAACCAAAGATGACAGCCTTACAAGTCAAGTTAGCAAGACCAAAGTGTGGACGACTTTTCCTCAAATTTCGTGACGTCGATTTTATTTTGGATGATGAATCGTACTTCACTCTTTCCAACACAACTTTGGCTGGGAATGACCAATTTTACTCAGATGATATTCAAAAGACTCCTACTGATGTGAAGAACAAAATGAAGGCAAAATACGAGTCAAAACTACTTGTTTGGGTGGCAGTTTCACCTCGAGGAATGAGTAGTGTCAAATTTTTCAAGTCTGGCCTGGCAATCAATCAATATATTTACCGTGACGAGTGTATACGAAAGAGGTTGATTCCTTTTATTAACAAATACTATAGGGATGGTAAATACGTATTCTGGCCCGATTTAGCTAGCTCCCACTATGCAAACTCAGTCCACGCCGACCTCAGAGACAAAAAAGTCAATTTTGTGCAAAAACAAGACAACCCAGCAAACGTCCCGAAAGTCAGGCCAATTGAGGATTTTTGGGGATTTTTGAAGCAGAAAGTGTATGAGAAGGACTGGCAGGCTAAAACTATCACTCAACTCAAAGCTAGAGTCAGTCTTTGCCTTCGTAATTTGGACAAAGACCTTATACACCGCACCTTCAGCTCGGTACACAAAAGACTCGATTTTGTCAGAAGGAATGGAATCGAAAAACTTTAAAAGACATTTTTTCTAACACTTAAAATTGTTGTTTATAAAATGCAAAAAACTGTTTTAAAAAAAATTGTAAAATGACTGAGATATCTTGTTTTAAAAGTTGGGCAAAATTTTAGTTGTGACCCGTTATTCCAGATACAAGACAGTAAAAGCAAGCAGAAAAAACATCTTTTTAACAATGCCAAACAGTTGCAAAAATCCAATGATTGTTTTGCATTCTTAGACTCGGCTAAATTTTTCAATCCATCTAACTTCCTTAACAACTTCATGCAGTCATTGCCATTGTAGTGCCCTTCCCCTTCCCCCCCCCCCCCCTTCATGTAAGGCAAAAGAGAGATATGAAGTGAAGCAAGCCAATTAACTGTCTTTGGCCGCATCTGAGCAAGATTTTTTACAATATGATTGACAACACCAATAAACAAATGCAATTCCATTGTTGGAATCACTTTTTTTTTTTTTTTTTGTATGTATTTAGGTGCTCCCAGAAGTCCTTACGGTCTTATCATAGAGCACCGCGGGAGAGCATTTAACAGGAAGTTCACGCCTCCTTCCGTACCAATGCCGCTTGTTGGGCTAGAGCTGGCGTTGAACCTCGGACCTCTGAATTCTGAGCCAGAATACTTGTTTGGTCTTCAAAAGGAAAAAGTGGAGAATGCACAGCATATGGAACGATTTGGCACTCTTTATATTTCCTCTGCTGTTAAGGAAGTCCTGAAATGTTTTCTGATTTTTTTTAACATTTTCATATGTTTCTGGAGTATTTTGTGCAACTGCCATAATCAATTGCTTTTTAACACCAGCACTTTTGAAACCTTCTTGAAAACACAACTTAATAGACTTTTGAATAGGACTGTGAGGCTCAGATTCATCTAGCTCTGTGTCAAGCAAGGTCAAACTCACTTTTTAATATGAGCCAGCGTCATCTATTCCAAGCTTAAGGATGGATCCCTGATCAAAGCGTCTTGAGATGCCAACAACCTGTTTAAATTGATGTAAGTCATGGCGATAAACAACATGACACTTGTCAGTTTCACACAACTTTATAATGCTCACTGTGAGATTTTCTTGTAAAATTTTGTTTTCTTTTGTAAAAAATTTTTCTCAACCAGTCGAGTAAGACTAATTTGATTGAGAGCAGATTCAAGTTTCATCATACCTGTGTTTGAAAGTCCTGTGTTTTTTTGAATGGCAACTATTTCTTGAGTGCTTAAAGGTGTTTGAATGAATTGCTGAGATGCTGATGAGGAACCTAAAAATTGTTAACCATTAACTAATGTGATTTTACAATTATTCTGAAAATTGTTTTTCTGTTTTGCCTTTTCTCACAGTCAATCTTTGGCCATGGAGTTGACTAATTCGAATTGTTCCTCTTGGTGATGAATCTATAGAGGAAATTGCTGATGACACTATCTGCTCAGCTCCATTGAGATCTACTATTGCGGCCATTGCATAATATTTTGAGGTTTTTATGACGAGTTCCTTGAGTACAATGATGAGGTAGATCGCGGGCAACTGATGATTGCTTGTTTTTTCTTGTTTTTATTTTTGCAATGGGTGCTTTTCTTTGCCTTTCATTTATGCAGTTTGGTAAATTAAGCTGTTTCAAAGTACTTGTTTGTCGAGTTTAAGTTGTAACTTGAATGAATTCAAAATTAAAATGTTTTGGCAGATTTTGCAATGATTCCTTGTCACCTGATTAATTTATCTTGAAACGACAAGCCATGCAAATTCGTATTAGAACTCTGTTATCGTTAAAATTGATATTTATTAAAAAAGCTTCCAAAACATTTTTCCTGTAAGACTCTGTCATTTTGTGGTCAGTTTTTTTTATACAAATAAAGTAGAAAGATTTCCTGCACTCGTTGTGATCTGAACGAAATTTCAAAAATGCCCACAAACGTGGGCATTTTTGAAATTTCGTTTTCCGTTTTAAAGTTTCCAATTTTTATGATAAAATCAGAGTGAGTTTTAATCTATAAATTTATATTTTATATATTTAGCTTCCTTTTTACAATCATTTAAAGATAAAAATATATTATTTTTTAGAAAAATTCAAAAAAAAAAATAATAATAATGGTCCCCTCGGGACCGCAAAATTAGATGTAGCCATCAAACTCTAATATCTTCTTTAGATTTTAATCCATGATTTTAATTTTACCATATTTTTGCATCTAAACATATCAAGAATCATCAGTCAATAGGATTTTGATGGAATGTTTTGTTGGTAATATGACCCCAAATTTTAAGGGTGTGTGCAAGCAATCTTTAAAAATTTATTTAAAATGTAATATGCCAATCACGATTTAATGTTATATAACTTAATAAAATATAATCGCGGTATGTTATGGAATCAAAGTTTTAGCTTTAATTTCCAGACCATTATAAAACTTGGATAACGATCTTATTAAAAAACATCAAGAATAGTTAGATGATTAATAATTTATAACTATTATGCATACTGAAGTTCTATTGAACTATTATTTTATAACTTTATTGAACTATCATATAATTTAAACGTTAACAAATTAGTAAATAACTAAAACTATTTTTATAAAACCTTGTTTTAATCATAAGCTTGAATTAAAAACTATTTAAAGACTTATTATCAACAGTAAAAATAAAGCAATAGTTGGAAGGATCATATAATCTCCAGAAGGATCAAAGTATTTCAAGAAGGATCGTACTATTAAATATGTTACATGAAATTTTTAAATTGATTAAATTATAGATTGTTACATACATTAGAAAGAGGTTCAATATGACATTTTAAAGGTAAATAAATTATTAAAATCAAATAAACCTACAAAAAAGTAGAACTCATCTGAGTTCTGGCTAAGAATCAAGAGGTTCAACGCTATATATATATATATATATATATATATATATATATATATATATATATATATATATATATATATATATATATATATATATATATATATATATATTATTAATAAGAATTATTATAAATAATAATATTAACTAAATGAAAAGTTGAGCGCGGAAAACCAGGAGCGTGTTGGGGATCGAACTCAAAACTTCTCGCTTATGAAGGGAGCGGGGCTCCACTACACCACTACCTTATATTAAAAAACCTGAATTGTTCTATATTGGTATATATTTTTAAAAAGTCTTGGTACCATGTAGTGGTTTCACAAGAACCAAGCTACTCAATGTTATGAAAAAGAGCCGACCTTAGCATTTGGAAGCCCTAGGCAAAGTTAACTTAGTGGCTAAAATGAAATAAAAAAACAAAAAACTACTACCAACCGCAAAAAGGTACTTCAAGAAAAGAAAGGTCAACCCCTCTTACCTGCTTACTTTAGAAGCAGCAACCCCTCTTGTTGCTTCTTCTAAAGCCATTTGACTACTTTGACCACATGTTGGAGATTGGGAAAATAGTAGTGTATCCTCTTCGTTCTAAGCAACTGAAGTTGATGTTGCCGGATGTTGTAGCGGCTTACGAGTAATGATTTACTAAAACATCTTTTTGTGTAGCTTAAAACTATTTTTGTGTAGCTTAAAACTATTTTTGTGTAGCTTAAAACTCTTTCGCATTTTGATGAAGCAGACTCAAAAAAATGTTGTAATATTTTCACCAAAAGTACACAACCAGATTTAATTTTAAATTTATTAAACTATATGTACTTATAAATTTAGCTCTTCGTTATGTTTATAGTAAAAACCGAATAGTTTTCTTCCTTTTTCTTATATTAACTTTTAATTTTTTTGATGACGAACCTGTTCGACGAACTGTAGACATTTGTTTATCAATGTTTTATGAACCTATAAAACCATAAAACCCCTTAAAAATTGCGTTAAAGAATTTATGTAACTATAAAACTTCTCTAGGAATTGCGACAAATATCTTTTTAAAAACAAACTTTCGTTTTGTATTTATTTGGTTTAATAAAAAAACTTTCGTTTGATTACAACTTATCTATTAAAACCCATTCCGAAAATTTGACGAAAAACAACTTTCATTTTCTAATAAAACTTTTTTTCTTTTAGTTTAAGATTTTATCAATGTTTACAGAATTTTATCAACGAAGAATTTCGAAGAATTTTTATAACTGTTAAACCCCTTTGGAAATTGTGATAAAAAATAGTTTTCTTTTTGTAAACTTTATAAAATTTATTTTTCTAATAAAATGATATATATATGTATATATGTATATATATATATATATATATATATATATATATATATATATATATATATATATATATATATATATATATATATATATATATATATATATATATATATATATATATATATATATATATATATATATATATATATATATATATATATATATATATATATATATACATTAGGGTGGTCCTTATTTTACAACTTTTGAATTTTAATACGGGCGCCCCCTAGGAGGGATCCAATTGTTCAAAAACAAAATACCCTGAAAGATTTTTACAATTAAATAATATTTAGGGTATGCTCAATGACCCGGAATTTTGGTGTATGTGCCCGAGCTGTCCAGCCACGCCATAATGCCAAAAGTATGAAATAAGGACCACCGTACCGACTGTGGCAGGGTTTGTTTTAGCCTGATCTCCTTTGTTGCTTACTTTAACGTGCTTTTGTCTACACTAGTTGCTTGTGAACATGTGTTTTTTATTTGTGTTATAGAAATTAATTAATAAAGTTGCCATGGCAGTATCGACAAGGAAGCAGTCTGAGATATATTTACTTGGGACAGTGAAAGAAGAGTTTACAGGCGCTAAATTGCCATCAATACAGGACGTCCTTGGTGTGTTTTTTTACCATCTGAAGGTCGTTGAAGAAACGAAGCATTCAGCTGCCAAAGAAACAATTCGACAACTCTTCACGTACTGGAGCCGTGCAAGAATACCAGTCCGGGATGAACGAAGAGCAATAAAGAAGTTGGAAGATTTGGTTCTGACTTGGGATAACCTTAAGAAAAACAAAAACTGAAACACAGAAGAGGAATGAAGAAGCTTTTATTGCTGAGTTTCCGAAT